TGTCTCACCTGTCTATCTTACCTGTCTGTCTCACCTGTTTGTCTCACCTGTCTCTCTGCAGATGATGCGTTCAGCAGGTAAAAGTTCTGTGATCTTCGTGCTCCTCGTCTTCTCAGGCGGTTTCTGGCTCCTCAGCTGTGTTTTGGTGGTGGTTGCTATGGCGGTGGTTGAGCAGGAGAAGGCGAGCATCGCTGAGGCTCGACGGACAGAAGAAGAGTTCCTTCACATCCTGGACGTGATAAAGAAGAGGGAGGAGGAAGGGGAGGAGGAGGAGGAAGGTTGGTGTCTGTTGTCTGTCTGTGTCTGATGCATTCAGGACCAGCAGAGAATCACAGAGGTAGTGAAGGTTCTCAGAAAATGTGACGTTGTGTTTCAGAGCCCCAGGACGATCAAAGGTTGTCCCCTCCGTGTTTCTTGTCCAAGTGGACGTGGAACTGTTGTGGCTGCTGGCAGGAGCTCAGACTACGTCTCAACGGCTTCGTCATGGACCCGTTCTTTGACCTTGTGATCATCATCTGCCTCATCCTCAACTGTATCGTCATGTCCATGGAACATTATCCCATGACAGTGGAGTTTGAAGAAATGTTCATGCCCACTCAATTGGTCAGTGTTAGAGATCGGTCTGATGATGTCATAGCTATTCAGGGCTATTCCACCAAAGTGGCACAACTAATCCTGGCTTCAGTGAAAAGGTCCAGCTTTAATTAGCTTCGACTTCAACTTGAAGCTTAAAATGCTCCGCTACTCAAGGCTGATTCTATCCTGACGTTAATAATGTTCTTACAGACCAGAATAATCGATTTGCAGCTACAAAGAAAACAAGAAAAAGGAGACAAATAACTCATTTTTACACACGTCAGTAATAAATGAAGTAGATTTATATTTTCATGATCAGAAACTTCATCAGCTACTTTAACCCGTCTGTCTGTTTGACTTATAAAAGGCATCTTCTTCTCGGTGTTGGAGGAACAGAAGTCGAAGAGGTGTCAGAATAAATTCAAACACAGTCATCTTTGTGGTGATGATGTTTTCATTTCTTTTTTCAACAGCTTCAAAATAGTGACTAATAAACAGTTCAACTAAACTTTGATAAACTAACAAAAAAGTTTCTGATTGCGACAGAAACTTTTTTAATGAGTTCAAACTTTTATTATTCTGATTACAAACATTAATAGCATGAAGGTAACAAAAAAATTAGACAGAACTGTCCTTCGACAACTTGTTTCCACCCATCCGACTTTCTTTTGAGACACAGCTGAACATAGCCAGACTTGCTCTGAAGCTTAAGCTACCATGGTGACTGAGCAGGAATTAATTTAAACCCGAGTCATGTCACAGATCTCTTGCTTAAATAAGCCACAATTATCAAAGTAAACCGGGATTTGCATTAAGCCACTTTGATGGAATAACCTCCTGGAAGCACTGCTCAGTGACCTCTGACCCCCTCTGCAGGTCTTCACGGGGATCTTCGCAGTTGAGATGCTCCTTAGGCTTGTGGCCATGAATCCATACGATTACTTCCAGGTCAGACTTCCTGTTTGTTATCAGCGCAGAGGAAAAATGGTTGACAAATGTTTCCAGGGAAACTTGTGTCATTGTTCTTGCCATGGTTACAGGTGGGCTGGAACGTCTTTGACAGCATCATTGTTGCACTCAGTCTGCTGGGGCTGGTATTTGCTGAGTTTGAAGGGGCACATATAGACCTGGTCAGTATGACGTCATCATCAGGTTAATATGGCTGCCTACATGTCTACTCACCTGTCCCATGTCCCACAGATGCGAGTGCTGAGACTGGCCCGGTGGTGGCCGACCTTCCACATGTTTCTGAAGTTAATCTGGACCTCGGTCTTGGCTCTGAGGAACCTGACTCTCATTCTGCTGACCATGGTCTTCATCTTCACCGTTGTTGGCATGCAGCTGTTCCAGGACAACTACTCAGACTTCGTCTGTCGCATCTCGACGGACTGCCAGCTTCCTCGCTGGCACATGAAAAACTTGTTCCACACCTTTGTTCTCGTCTTCAGGATCCTCTGTGGAGAATGGATCGAGAACATGTGGGACTGCATGCAGGTCTCTAGTCCGAGCGTGTGTCTGATGTTCTTCATAATGGTTCTGGTCTTCGGACACCTGCTGGTGAGTCTCTGAACTGAGCCTGGTTTGATCCTCAGCAGGTCAGTGGAAAAATAATTAAAATTAAATTGTGTCCCTGGTCTTAAGGTCCTGAATCTCTTCCTGGTCTTGTTGATGAGCTCGATCGGTGATGATCTGGTGGCTCCAAAAGAAAAAGTCAAAAACCACTTGATAATCGCTGTAGACCAGATCAAAAGAGGTGTGGCCTGGACCAGGGCCTGGATACTGGAGCATATTTGGACTTTGGTAGGGAAGAAGAATCCCATAATCCCACACCACAAAGGTGAGCCTTTTTATTCCTGCAGGTTCTGACCAGTGGATTTAGTTCTTACAGTCTCTAGGTTTTAGAGTTCAGTCTTTTCTGGTTGTATATTTTATCCTTAGTGGTCAACAGCGAAGAAGACAAGAAGGACTACCTGGGCTTGACGTCTGTGACCTCAGACCAGCCCCTGTCAGAGAGCAAGGCCTGTGGCAGTAACCATGGCAACCAGACCAGCAAATACAACTTCGAGAAGGTCCCTGTCGCCGAGGCTGAGGTCGAATTCGACATGCCTGAAAATGAAGAGGAAAAACACAAAGTAAAACTTTTTCAATTTATTAATTACGATTCCAACTCATCACAGATTTCTTCATGTTTATTCCAGCAGTAACCATGGAAACATATGTACTTGATTTGTGAATAAAATCCACCGACAAAATAATAACAGAGTCTGTTCAGCAGGATGAAGAAAACAAGACTCGAAGAAATAACACACCTGAAGACTGCTGCTGCGACAGTACAGACACACACGCGCATACACACACGCACAAACACAGACACACATACACATACGCACAGATGCACACACGCACACACCAAGGTTATTATATTTTTGAAAATTTCATTAGTTTTTATTTTGATTTAGTTTTTCAGTTTGCTTTTTTATTTCAGTTCAGTTTAGTTTTAGTTAGTTCAACAAGTGATTATGTAGTTTTAGTTTAAGTTTTTCCAGGTATTAAGAGAAAGCTTCGACTTGTAGAAGATGAAAAAGGATGAAATGATGTGTGACACCAAAAATGGTTCATCAAGTCCTTTAATTTCATTCTTTAACCATCACCTGCAGGACAGGAAGTAATTGAGGGAGAAAACAAAACGAAAACGAAGCTGAATTTATCTGCAATTCACTTTAGTTTTAGTTAGTTTTGCATTTCATTGTAGTTTTTATTTATTTAGTTTTCGTTAACTATAATAACCCTGGCGCACACACACACACACACACACACACACACACACACACACACAC